GCGTCTTCTCGGCAGGAACGCTTAAAGACAATGGCTTCGATCGTGAGTGCATGTTTTCGAGGATGCGCCCAGCCAGTGTTCCGTTTCGGCGCTGCTGCACTGGAGGTGTTGGTGGCATCCGAACTCTGGCAAAGTGAGGTCCCAGTGCATGCCATCGTGGCTGGCAGTTCAGTGTCTGCTTGCCACTTTTCTGCGCTGATACACTCGATGGGTTAAGTTGTCCGAGCTGGGTAGCGACTTCGAGAGGTCCGTGTTCATTGTCTCCTTTCTGTGCTGCCGCACCTGATGTGTCGGTGACGTCAGATGGCTAGCAAACTTTTTTTTCAGTGTTTGCCATCGTGATTGGTTTGCAGTACATCTGCCTGCCACTTTTCCTGTGCTGGGGCATACAGGACATGACAGCTTATGCAGAGGCGCGCGGGTTGTGCTGCACATTACGCCGAACTTGTGGGGCTGCTGCCAATTCTGGTTAACGATGCTGGAGTTTAGGGGGTGGCGCCGAAGTGATGCGGATCTCCTCCCCTACGGCAGGTTCGCTGCGTGTCGACCGGCGGCGACCCCAGCGCGGGCGTTTGAGGTTGAACGCCGCCTGTGGCCCAGAATCGGCCCATCCTTGAACGATCCGGCCTTTTTGAAAGGGCCGATCGCTCAAGTTTGAACGATCCCCGCGGTGTCAGGAGCCAACGCCAGGGTCTACACGACGCGAACCTGCCGTAGGTTGGAATCGGAGTTCGGTTTCGGGCGGGTCGTGCGTGCGGGCGGGGCGAAGCTGCGAGAGATCCACCCTGACCGTGAGGCACATCCTCGCCAGTTTCTCGCCGCCCGCGTCCGCGGTTGCCCCGCTAGGTTGTCCCGGCGCTGTCCTGTGGCTGTCCTGTGGCTGTCCTGTGGCTGTCCTGTTGTTGTCCTGTTGTTGTCCTGTTGTTGTCCCTGTGGTTGTCCCTGTGGTTGTCCCGTGGTTGGGGCGAGATTTGCGGGCGAGCTTCACGGCGTGTGCGCATTGGGTGGGGGAATTTCTCGTTGGAAACAAGGAGTGCCAGCCCGTTTGGGAAAACATCAGTGCATTACGCCATCCACAGTCTGCGGATGTGGAAGAGCCAGAAGAGAGGAGAGCGGGAGAGCAGTAGAGCTAGAAGAGTTGAAGTGCAATCTGAGATGGAGGAGCTAGAATAGCTGGAAGGGCTAGACGGCATTAGAAGGGCCTGGTGGTGGTAGAAGCGCTAGGATTGGGTTTGAATCAGAAGGGTGCCGGGCTGCGCTTGTAGCGGCACCAATCGCAAACCGACACTTGCACCCCCGAACCTTATTATCACCCCAAGTGCGATGTAGTTGTCTGATAGTTTGCATGCCTTTCGCCGACGGTGCACGTCCATGTTGCTAACACGTCGTGTCGGCGGCGCTTGCGATCCAGCAAGCTGTGACCGCTATCGTAACATGTGATCGATCCTGCCAATTCTCTCGGCGGAAGCCTTCCGAAGCCGATGGCTTCGATACTGAGTGCCTGGTTTCGGGGATGCTCCCAGCCAGTGTTCCGTTTCGGCGCTGCTGCGTTGGAGGTGTTGGCGGCATCCGAACTCTGGCAAAGTGAGGTCCCAGTGCATGCCATCGTGGCTGGCAGTGCAGTGTCTGCTTGCCACTTTTCTGTGCTGATACACTCGATGGGCTAAGTTGTCCGAGCTGGGTGGCGATTTTGAAATGTCCGTGTCCTCCCTGGGTTGTTATGTGATTGTCCTGCGGTTGTCCCGTGGTTGGGACGCTCTTTGCGGGCGAACTTCACGGCGTGTGCGCATTGGGTGGGGGAGCTTCTCGTGGGAGACAATGAGTGCCAGCACGAATGGGGAACTATCGGTGCATTACCCAAGCGACAATGTGAGGAGGTGGAGAATCTGCAAAGAGTTAGAAGAGAGCGGGAGAGCAGTAGAGCTCTCCGCAGGCACTGATGAGAACAACACTTGAAGCAGAGCTGGAAGAGTTGAAAAGCAACCGTATATGCAATCGCTAGAATGGCTGGAAGAGTTAGACGGCACCAGAAGGGCTGCGAGGTGGGAGAAGCGCTAGAAACGGGTACTAGAACGGCTGCAAGGCTGCCAGCCTGAAGCGACACCAATTGCACGCCGACGACCGCACCCCCGAACCTCATCATCACCCGAAGTGCGATGCAGTCGTCTAATAATTTGCATGCCTTTGGGCAACGGTGCATGTCTATGTTGCTACAACGTCGTGTCGGCGGCGCTTGCGATCCAGCAAGCTATGATCACCAGTGCGTCCGCGATTGCGACTTGTCACAGCATATGATCCTGCCAATTCTCTCGGCGGGAATGCTTGGATGACAATGGCTTCGGTAATGGGTGCCGGGTTTCGGAGAGATGCTCAGCCGGTGTTCCGTTTCCGCGCTGCTGCCCCAGAGCTGTTGGCGGCATCGGGACTCTGGCAAAATGAGGTCGCAGCGCATGCCATCGTGGCTGGCAGTTCAGTGTCTGCTTGCCACTTTTCTGCGCTGATGCACTCGATGGGCTAAGTTGTCCGAGCTGAGTAGCGTTTTAGAAAGGTCCGTGTCTTCCCTGGGTTGTTATGTGGTTGTCCTGTGGTGTTCCCTTGGTTGGGGAGTTCTTTGCGGGCGAACTTCACGGCTTTTCCGCATAGGGTGGGGGAGCTTCTCGTGGGAGACAAGGAGTACCAGCCCGATCGGGGAAACATCAGCGCAGTACTGAAACGACAGTGTGAGGAGATGGAACAGACAGAAGAGTTAGAAGAGAGGGGGAGAACACTAGAGCTCTACCTAAGCATTGGAGGAAGCATAAACTCTAGCAGAGAAAGAAGAGTTGATGAAACGGTTTCCAGACACATATTCACTAGAATAGCTGGGAGGGCTGGAATCGTTAGACGGCACTAGAAGAGCTCGGTGGTGGTAGAAACGCTAGATGGTGAGTGTGAGTTAGAACGGCCGCCAGGCTGCCTGCCCAAAGTGACGCCAATTTCAAACCGACAGCTGCGCCCCCCCCCGACCCTCCTGGTCGCCCGAAGAGTGATGTTGTTGCCTACCAGGTTGTATGCCTTTTAGCAACGGTGCATGTCTATGTTACGAAAACGTCGTGTCGGCGGCGCTTGCCAGTGTCTAAGCGTCCGCCATTGTGATTGGTCGCAGCATATGATCCTGCCAATTCTCTCGGAGGGAATGCTTGGATGACAATTGCTTCGATATTGGGTGCCTGGTTTCGGAGAGGCGCCCAGCCGGTGTTCCGTTTCCGCGCTGCTGCACCAGAGGTGTTGGTGGCATTGGGACTTTGGCAAAGTGAGGTCTCAGCGCATGCCATCGTGGCTGGCAGTTCAGTGTCTGTTTGCCACTGTTCTGTCGGCGTCACCCCAACATGCTAATACGATGTGTGCGTCGCCCCCCACAGGGGCGACGCGCGCACCGAGAAATCTTATAGTATATGCAACGTGGCGGGCGCTTTCTGGCCACACTGTTCGGGAAACGATGGGTATACTATATGCTCGGGTCGGACGCGCGACTCCAAGGATAACATATACGTAGTATTAGTAGGTTTTTATGCGTCCCACGCCATCGTGGCAGGCAGTTCAGTGTCTGCTTGCCACTTTTCTGCGCTGATGCACTCCGATGGGCTAAGCTGTCCGAGCTGGCTCAACGACTTCGAGAGGTCACTGCCCGGTGTCTTCGTTCTGTGCTGCCGCACCTGATGTGTCGGTGACATTAGAGGGCTGGCAAAAACCGATTCCTTCAGCGCTTGCCATCGTAGGTCATTTGTTTGCCACTCTTCTGTGCTGGAACACTCCCCGCGCGAGAGCTCGCGGAGAGGCGCGAGGGTGCGGTGCATGATGTCCCAGACTGGTGGGGCTGCCAATCGTGGTTCTCGCTGCGGGAGTTGATGGGGGTGGAGCCGTTGTGGGACAGAGTTTGCTCCCCCTTCACCGTGGAAATCGGGCCTCGGTCTCGGCCTGGGTCGCGCGTGCGGGCGAGGCGAAGCTGCGCGGGACCCGGCTCCATGGTAGGGCACGTCCTCGCCAGCTCCTCCGAGGCCCGCGTCCGCCGCGTGCCCCGCCGGGGTTGTCCCTGCCGTGTCCTGTGGCTGTCCCGTGGTTGTCCCGTGGCTTGGGGCGAGCTCTGCGGGCGAAAATTTCACGGCGCGTGCGCATCTAGGCCAGAGCAGCCCAAGAGGCGACACCAAGTGCAGACCGGCAGTCGCACCCGCCCCGGACCTTCTTCTCTCCGGGAGTGTGAGGTAGTTGTCGAAGAGGTTGCATGGTTTCTGTCAACGGTCTAAGTTGTTTCATCGTCGTTTCGGCGGCGTTTGTGATCCGGCACATTGTGATCACCACTGTCTGAGCATCCACCATTGTGGTCGATTGCATCATATTATTTTGTCAATTCTCTCGGCGGGAACGCTTTGATGACAATGGCTGCGATAATGCGTGCCTACTCTTGGAGAGGCGCTCAGCTGGTGGTCCGTTTCGGCGCTGCTGCACCAGAAGTGTTAGCAGCATCGGGACTTGGACAGAGTGGGGTCCCAGCGCATGCCATCGTGGCTTGCAGTTCAGTGTCTGCTTGTCTGTTTGCCCCTTTTCTCGGCGGCGAGCCAATGGGGGAACGCAGAGGGGGCGCTTCTGCTCAGGAGGCTCGGAAGGCCTCCGGCCTTCTGTGGAATCTTCTAAACCTTCTCCGAAGACGCGAGGTCTTCTGAGAAGCCCCGCCGCCTACCGAGAAGGCCTGCCCCGTCCCACTTCCTCCGCGGGCTCGCCGCCCATTGTCGGCGCTGATGCACTCGATGGGCTAAGGCGTCCGAGCCGGATGACGATTTCGAGAGGTCCATGTCCGTTGTCCCCTGTCTGTCCGGAGGGAAGAAAACACACGGACACCACGAATCGTCGATTCCCAGGAAAATGTAAGAAAATATGGGAAGTGGGGGTGAAGACAGAAACCCAGAAAATATGTGAAAATAGGAGGAATCCTGGGATTTGTGTCGATTGATTTGTGTGTCCCAGGGCGCCTTTATTCTGTGCTGTTGCACCTGGTGGCGCTTGGCGTGTATCTCTGGAGAGGCCGAGCAGCATCGACCCCGAGATCGTGCTGAGACTCGGGCCGACGACGGCGGGGCTGAGCTGCACGCCGAGCTTCCGCGGAGCGCTGGGTCCGATTCGAGTCCGTGTGGACAGAGGTCGGGCCTATTTTCTCTGGGAGTGGCTCTAGCGTTGCCAGAGGGGATGGGAGGTCGCATTACACAGACCTCCGACGATGTTTTTTTCGTTACTTGTTTTTGGTTCCCAGCCATCCTGTGGAGTTGGGTCCTCGTTTTGAAGAGGGCGCCCCGCGTCACTCACTCCTCCTTCCTCCTCCCCCTCCGCCCTCCTCCCCTACCTGCCTCTGCTCTCCGCATGTCCTCCATAGGGTGCTCCACCGAAGGCCCTAGTGGCAGGGTCCGCATGCAGTTCCGCCCCCATTTTTGGCGCTCACCTCACACGTTTCGTGGCCCCATAGGGTGCTCCACCAAAGGCCTCAGCGACAGGGTTTGCATGCAGTTCCACTCCCATTTCGGCGCACCCCTCACACGTTTCGTGGCCCAATAGGGTGCTCCACCGAAGGCCCCAGTGGCAGGGTCAGCATGCAGCTCCACCCCCAGTTCGGGGCACCCTTCACACATTTCGTGGCCCCATAGGGTGCTCCACCGAAGGCCCCAGAGGCAGGGCCCGCATGCAGGTCCACTTTTATTTCGGCGCACCCCTCACACGTTTCGTGGCCCCACAGGGTGCTCCACCGAAGGCCCCATGAGCAGCGCCCGCGTGCCGCCACCATCCTGCTTGGGCACACCCCTCACACATCTCGCCGCCCCACAAGGAGCTCCACCGAATACGATACTCACAACTGCATATTGTTGGGTCCTTTGCCAAGCTTTTTTTTGTTCGACGTGACCCCCGCGAAGTCTCGACCCCATCCCCAGGACCGGCTTTTCACCTTGAGCCATTTTTTGATGGTCCCAGGGCCTGGCGAGGGCCCCCCGGAGGCCGAAAATAGCAAGAACAATTCCTTGCGTTTTTCCCAATCATCTTGTGGTGTTGGGTCCACATTTTGAAGAGAGCGCCCCGCGTTCCTTCCTCTCCTCTCCTCCTCGGCCCCCTCCTCCCTCCTCCCATCCCTGTCTCTGCTCTCTTAATCGGCCTAACATCTCGGCACACCCCTGACACGTTTCGTGGCCCCATAGGGAGGTCCACCGAAGGTCTAAGTATTCCCGCCCGCATGCGTCCCCGCCACCAATGTCGGCACACCCCTCGCACGTTTCGTGGTCCCTAAAGGAGCTTCACCCAAGGCCCAAATGGTGCCGCCTGCACGCGCCCCCGCCATTCATTTCGGCACACCCCTCATGCGCCTTGTGGCCCAATAGGGAGCTCCACCCAATGACCCGATGGTGCCGTGCGCATGCGCCCCCGCCACCCATTTCGGCACACCCCTCGCACGTTTCGTGGCCCCATAGGCAGCTCCGCCCAGGGCGCAAATTGTGCCGTCTGTATGCGTCCCCGCAATCAATTTCGGCACACCCCTCACACGTTTCGTGACCCCATAGGGAGCTCCACCCAATGACCCACATGGTGCCGTCCGCATGCGTCCCCGCCGCCCATTTCGGCACCCCCCTCGCGCGCTGCGTGGCCCCATAGAGAGCTTCACCGAAGGCTTAAGCGGCACCCTATGCGTCCCCACCACCAATTACGGCACATCCGTTGAACGTTTAGTGCCCCCGTGGGGAGTTCCACCGAAAGCTCCATGTGCGACGTGTGCATGCGGTTCCCCATCCAGTTCGGCACACCCCTCACACGGTCCATGGCCACACAGGTTCGCGTGCGTCCCCCCCCGCCCATCTTCCTACTTGTCACCCACGTTTCGTGGCTTCACAGGCAGCTCCACCCAAGGCCCTATGAGGAGATCCACTGAATGCGATACGTACATCGACGGTATTCACAACTGCATCTGGTTGGGTCCTTCGCCAGGATAATTTCTGTGACTCGAGGGGGTCTGGGTAGAGTGTCCGACATGGGTGTAGGAGGAGGGCTGCCCCTCTTCGGGCTTCTCTTGAGCGTGCTTTTTGCCCTCTGGGCCACGGCGTGCGTTATGCCCCCTACCCTCCCCCCTCTCCCCCCTCATAACGTCACGCTCCCCCTCAGTGCGTCCCCGGCACCGCCGCAGTGCGTCCGGCACCACAGTCGGGGGGGGGGGCGCTACGTTGTGCCCCCTCCCGCCCCCCCCTTCCCTTCTCATCACGCCTTGTCATTAAGTCATTAATGGCTGCGAATCACAGAAATACGCTGCGTGGGTTCAGGAGGAGGGGTGGATGGGGGGCACCTGACGGCCCGCGGCAGCCCAGGCTACCCCGAGCCCCTTCTTCGGGCTCTCTCTCTTGGGCCTCTCTCTCCACGGCAGCCGCGCCCTCGCCCCCCCCCAGGTTCCGCCGCGGGACGAGCCCGTGCCGCGTCTTCGGCTTGCTCTTCTCGCGG